CCACTCCACTCCCCTTTTTCAAAAATTCTGGATCCGCCTGCTGGTGATTATCGATCATATCACCATAGCTGAAGACGTTGCATGAGGTAATAATGTCTCGTGTGGAGAGTTGTCTCATTGGCAATGATACCACATCTTCTTATTTTTATATTGTAATCAAGTGGAAAAAATATGTAATTATTGTAATCGGGGAAGAAACAACTTCTTTGTTATTTGTTTGACTTCAAGATAAATGCGTATAAAATAAAACCGGTTAACATAATACTGATCAAAGAAACGTCTTTCATGTCTCAACTTCAACCTCAGCAAGTTGTGTTTTCCTTGGTCCATTCAGTTTGATATATATAAAATCTATGACCAATAAAAAAGCTCCAAAGAAATTTGTAAATACAAAGAAAAAGAATTTAGCGTTGTAACTTCACGTCAGATCTCTCAATGAACCTGAAAATTAAATCAAAACAATTTAAAGTCTGAATACAACTAAACAAGTAAGTGTAATGATTTCAATTTAATTCTTGTCCGGTTATACAAGGAACCGATTTTCCGTGTTAGGTGAATGCCACGCTCTCTGCACGTAAATGAGCTCTTACAATAAGATTCTGAGGCGTCCATAGATGGTAATGTTCAAAAGCAAAATTACAAACTTATCAAACAATCCTCAATTTATAGTGGCAGCGAATATTTCGCATCCATCGTCCTATTCGACCTAACTTGAAGAACCTACCTATTGAATTTATTGTTAAATTGCTCGCGTCAAGCACATGCATTAAATATTTGCCGCTGAACACTAAACAAGCACAACATACCACTAATCAATCAATAAATTTCATTTCTTAATATTTTTCTTTCTATATCGTGTAAGAACAAAAAATAAAACTGTATAGCTAGCATGCGTAATAAATGGAATGGGTCACTTGTGTTGTTTTTCATTCATCTTTATGTAATCCCGTTCTATGGGAAAATAGATATCTCAGAAACTTCACATTACAATGATATTGACTGTGTTTGTTAAAAAAAAAATTACACCTGTTGGAACAAAATTACATTTACTCTAAGAAAATGTTGATATGCAAGAAAAACCCAACGCTGATTTCGTCTGCAACACCTTGGTACACATCCATTGGCTTCAACTAACTATAGAAATGGAAGTAAACACTTCGCATTTACATTTGTAGTCAAAAAAACAATTTACATCAATCATTTTCAAATATTCAAGATTTGTTTGCTATGCTTGTAACCATTGAGATAATTTCGCTTTAAACAACGATCTTCGTTGACAAGACAGAAGTAGAGTTGTTTAGATATATATTTCTTCTCGCTAATTTAAACTTTTTCTGTAAGTTACTTACCATTTAATGGTCCAGTAATCCCAAAAAATATGTGCTGACCTCCAGTCATTAGCCAAATAGCTTGGCCGAACCGTTCCGGTTCGATTATTTCTGACAAAGTAGATGAATTAATAGCAAACATAGTCCCTCCAATGAGCATATATCACAGAATATAAAACAAGGGACCAGAATTCAGTATAAAACGGATTTAAGGAGTTTATAATACCACATATAATCAATGCAATAATCACAATTTTTTTTCTACCAATAAAACCATGATCTGCGAATATTCCACTTCCAGCCCGACCAAATATGTCTATAACACTGGAAATAGATATGATAATACTAGTACGGGTTTTGTCTATCCCGTGGAAGTCTGATAACGGAGGAATGAACATGATTGGATATAAGCAACCAATACTTCCTGTTAAATAAGCTATTATAAACAAAGTAAATGAATGTTTCTAAAAATTGCGCAGTTGAACACATAACGAAGAACGGACACAAAGCTATGTTTCGTTACTAAAGTTGCATCTACCTTATTAACACTCTCATCACTTATTGATCTAATTATTTCAGCTGTATTGATATCATATAAATATTCGCTACTTAAATAATGTTTTCTTTTCGTCTCGGAACTTCCAAATTTTGCAAGTATGTTTCCTTGAGACGAGCTGACATGCTGGTTTGATTCAACTAAAGTTGGAACCATTTCAACTTGCACAACTTCCGATTCTGTTCTTGAACGCATTCGTTGTAGCATTGCTTTTCTAGCTAAAGGCTAAAACGAATCGCCTGTGAGTGACCTTGGACGGAATCCGTGAGACTGATCATTAATTTCTTCTAACAGTGCTTTTGTTTCTGGTTTTCTAGAGTCACTAAATTAATGAGTTGATGCAAGCCCCCCAGAACGTCAGCAACACTAATAAACTAATAAATAAACAAACAATGAAACAAACATAAAACTTCACATTGGCAACCATTGGAGAGCGAAACATTCTATCAGCTTGGCAAACCCTTTTCGGCACACAGGGTGCACAAAATTTGGATAACAATACATTAGACCTTGAACGCTTTAATCTTTTAAAATTACATAACAAGATCGTATTAGACCAAGACGATCCAAATAAAGAGGTAACAAGACCTACACCAACATAAATGGAATCTGCATTCTGAAATTTAATACAAGGAAAGTCTGCGAATGAGAACGACTTTCTTATATAAAAGATACAATAAAACCACTCAAACTTACCGACTAAAATGCTGTGAGAGAAAATGAAAAAGTAGATACTTTGAGCAAATGTATTACATATTAATCCAAGACTGCCAATATATCCACCCGTCATTATCACCTGTCTGAATGTCAGAAACTTCAGTCCTATTGTCATGCTTAGGAAACCTGAAATTCAAAAATAAATATGACATTGTGTTAGCGAACATACGACGTAGAATAGTTTCTTTTTTTTGAGATTTGGGTGCAAACTAAGTTACAATATTTCTCAAAAAATTACACTGCCAATGAGACCGCTATATGAATCGACTTAGGAAATGCGTTTTTTGTTTAGCTTGCTTTCAGAAATTGCGAGCATTCCTTGATACGGTATCATTCTGTATCGTTTTTAACTTACATTGAGTATAGACTGCAAGTATTCCTTGATACAATATCATTCTGTATCGCTTTTAACTTACATTGAATAACTGCGAGTATTCTTTGATACGATATCATTCTGTATCGCTTTAAACTTGCATTGAGAAACTGCGAGTATTTTTTGATACGGTATCATTCTGTATCGTTTTTAACTTACACCGAGTAACTGCGAGCATTGAATTTCTATGATACGATATTATTATGTTATTTTTTGGTTTTCCTTCAGTAACTGCGAGCATTCTTCGATACAGTGTCATTCTGTGTCTCGCTTTTTTTTGGGAGACGCACTGTGGTATAAAATGCTTTTGAATAATATGAATGGATGTATGTATAATGTTATTGTAAATATGTATCAAGGTACTAAGTCATGTATTTCATATAACAATTCCATGTAATAACGGGGTTAGACAAGGCGAAAATTTATCGCCTTTTCTTTTTTCCCTATTTTTGAATGATCTTGATTCATTTTTGCAAACCTGTAATATAGAGGGCCTAAATTCAGTCTCAACAGAAAAACTTGACATATTTTTAAAACTTTTTATTATTCTGTATGCTGATGATACTGTGTTGATGGTCGAATCCTCAACTCAACTCCAAAAACTTTTAGATTGTTTTCTAGATTACACAGATGTATGGAGGCTAAAAGTAAATGTTGATAAAACAAAGGTCGTGGTTTTTTCAAGGAGACGACCATCATGTAATTTTCAATTTTTCTTTAATGAAAAAAAACTGGATATCGTTGATGAATTTAACTATTTGGGCATAATTCTAACAAGAACAGGTAATTTTGATAAAACGAAGCAATTTAATGTAGAAAAGGCTACTAAGGCTCTTTTCGAAGTGTTAAGACTAGGTCGTCTACATAATCTTTCTATATGTAGTCAGTTGGACTTATTTGATAAAATGGTGAAACCAGTATTACTGTACGGTTGTGAAGTATGGGGTATTGGAAATAATGAGATAATTGAAAGGGTACAACTAAAATTTTGTAAATTATTATTAGGTCTGAAAACATCAATACCCTCTTACATGATTTATGGGGAGCTTGGAAGATATCCTATAGACTTGGACATAAAAACTAGATTGATCTCATTTTGGGGGAAATTAAATTCTGGTAAAGAGACAAAATTATCATATACTTTATATAAATTGTGTTATCACATGTCTATTAATGGCAATGTGCATTTTTCATGGTTAAACAGAGTAAAGACTATTTTAAACGAATGTGGTATCCCCAGTGTTTGGGAAACGCAATCTTTTATGAATTGTAAATGGTTATTTTCATTCATCAAGCTCAGACTTAAAGATCAGTTTGTACAAGTCTGGCATTCTTTGCTTGAAAACTCACCAAAAGCACTTAATTATAAATTTTTTAAAGATTTTTTTGGAAAAGAAGATTATTTTGAAATTCTTGGGAACAAACTGTCTATTGATTTTTGTAGATTTAGGACCACAAATCACAAGCTCCCTATTGAACAGGGTAGATGGAATAATATAGTTAGAAATAATAGACTGTGTCTTCTATGTAATAAAAATGACATTGGTGATGAATTTCATTACATATTAGAATGCAAATACCTTGAAGAAAACGGGAAACATTGTACGTCACATTATTATTTTTAAAATGCAAATACTGTTAAATACAAGCAGATTATGTCTTCAAAACACAAATCAGAACTGATTAAACTTTGTAACTTTATAAAGATTATCAACACAGGTATATGTGCTCCTGGCTAAAATGTACTTCATATATTGTCTTAGCAATTGTTTTGTTTGTTCTGTCTTATTGTAAATATTGTACATAAATGTCTTCTCTATACCTATGTATATGGTTTATTGAGAATAAAGATATATACATACCATCAAAATTACATACAGGCGAGACATATCTGAGACTTAATGTCAATAGTTTATCAAAAACAATATCTGTTTTTTTTAAACCTGAATAACATAAATAGTAATATTATTTCATGTAACTATAAGGTATGTGAAGCAATCTTTCGTAATCCCTTGAAGATAAATTTTCTATAATTTTCTTTCAGACGATTCAAGCATATGGATTCTGTGAAGAGTTTGGGAACATCTTTCCTGTACAGTAATATGATGTATGGCTTTGGTACTTATCTGTCTGAGAAACTTGGAGGTCATACATGGGAGGAATTGGTGGAATCTGAAATCTCCCAGTCCCTTGGAATGACTTCATCTACTTTTATCACCACTGTGGCGGACGTAGAAAATGTTGCACAAGGTTACGATAAGGGTCCTCTATCAAAAGGCTACTTTGTACCAGTGCTATTAGCGTTTAGCAGGTAAGTTTTACGCAGATAATGTACTTTTAATGATAAAAAAAAATGTATCATATTATGACTTCTGTCAAAGAAGAAACATTTATAACGTCTGATGTCATCACTGATTGGATGTGTACCAAGCGTTTGAACTTTAAGTAACGAACATCGGTTTGCGTCATTTCCCCAATGCATATAATTATGTAGACATATCGTTTTATCAACGAACGTTTCTAATGACCTTTAACAATAAGAAAAGTGAAAGGTTAGAGTCAAATAGCTAACAATCTAATGTATTCAACATTTAATGTACATTTTTTGTCCTGGATTGCGCCTGAAGTAGTTTTGTCGTTTATATTAAAATAACGGTAGTACTATGAGTCCTTTTTAGGGAAATATAAGAATCGGTTGTAAGAAGTCAGGAACATGACAGTTGCTTTCCATTCCTTTGATGTGTTTCAGCTTTTTATTTTGCCATTTGATTACGGACTTTCCGTTTTTAGTTTACCTTAGAGTTCGGTATTTTTGCTATTCTACTTTTTGACATCATTTCTCATGAAACACTGTCATTGAAAGATAGATGAATAAACCACACAGATTTTCAATCGATATGATTAATTTAATCAACATGTATTAAAAAAAAATCCTCTGATCAATTAATATGAAGGAATTAACACATTGGAGATGTTCCTGCAACTCTGTCAATAAACAGATGTATGTTCTAATACAAAAAATTAAAATAATGAAAATTGTTGCTTAAAACAAAGCTTATGTCTGTGTGAAGAAAGAAAACGTCTTGCATTCATTTCCCAAACTGTCGCGATTATAGTAGTTGAAATGCATTTCTTAATAGTTACTTGTTTGTTAATAAAAACTTAATTAAATGTAACAAAGTATCAATCGACAAAACTCGGCAGATTCCGGTACATATATCCAACTTATGTAGGTTATCGGAATCTGCTGAGGTTTACCGACTTAAAAAATACCAATATGGCAACAAAAGACATAAGGACAATAGTACTAAACGTTTCAACTTTTTTTCTTCTTTGATCATATACAAAAGAGAGGGACGAATGATACCAGAAGGACAGTCAAACCCATAGATCGAAAACAAACTGACAACGCCATGGCCAAAAATAAAAAGACAAACAGACAAATAATAGTACAGATGACACAACATAGAAAACTAAGGACTAAGCAACACGAACCCCACCAAAAACTGGGGATGATCTCAGGTGCTCCGGAAGGGTAAGCAGATCCTGCTCCACATGTGGCACCCGTCGTGTTGCTTATGTTATTACAAATCCGGTAAATAGTCCAATTCGGTAGGTCACATTCGTGAAAAGGGAAGGGTATTGTAATTACGACATAAGTAGCATATCCGATATCATCTGTGAAACAGTTATTCCATAACGGTCAACCAACTCGTGATGGCGTCCGTAAAATTTACGAAGGGATGACTTCAACTTCACCATTTGGAACTCTTGGTTTAATAGCTTCCTTGTGAGCAGCAATCCTCTATCAAGGAAATCATGATAGGAAATACAAGCCCGGGAATATCGTATTAATTGGGAGATATATACTCCGTATGCAGGCGCTGCTGGAATGTTGCTACATAGAAATGGAAAGTTCACAATTGGGAAGCTGAAATTATCTCTTTTGTCGTAAAGTTTTGTTTTCAACCGACCCTCATTGTCAATTTCTAGATGTAAGTCAAGATATGAGGCAGACTTAACTGTATCTGTAGTATCCTTTATCTCTAGTTCGATGCGAAAGATTCGTTCATCAAGCTGTAAATGAGACCAATGACTGAATATCAGTGTTTTCCTTATAGGGAGTGGGGATTATGGGCGGGATCTGGTGCTATAATGTCCAATGCTGAAGATATGACGAAATGGATGAAATTCCATTTGAACCGAGGCCTTGACAAATATGTCATTCCATTAATGAGTCAGTCTTATTTTGATGCATTACATGCAGAACATATCGGTTTATCCTACACCACAGTCAATGAATATTTCAAAAATCAGATAGAGCCAACGGAGGAAACAGGATACGGATTGGGATTTAAACTCGGAACATATTTTCCAGAATTGTTTCTCTGACTTTCATGTGTAGATGATTACTTGTTCATGTTTATTGTCTTTTGTTGATGCTTGCTTTATTGCCGGGTTATCATGCAGGCATACCATCATCTTTTTTATAATACTTTCTTTATTCATTCTTTATTTTAAAATACATTAAAGGGTATATATGATTGATAGCTTGTAAACACGTACATCTGTGTTAATTGTCTATAGCAATGTCTGATATTGGGTGTATAGAATAAATGTATTTGACAAGTGTCTACAGTACAGTATACTATGTGGTATTGTTTTACTTGTATCTGTGTTTATGGCGTATTGGTATTGTAGAGTTAAGTTTTGAACTTTTTCTGGTTTGATCTTTATAGTAACCCACACTTCATATTACATTGACAATATCATGATATAAACAACATTTTGGCAAAGAAACATAAATCTATCGTTTTTGTCTCGCCTGCGACGAAAGTCGCAGAAAGTGAGACATAGGTATTACTATCCGGCGGCGGCGGCGGCGTAAACTATTTGTATAAAGCTTTATATTTCAGAAGGTAGAAGACCTGGATGCTTCATATTTTGTATGCAGATACCTTATGTTACGAACTTTCCGTCTGTCATATGTCCAATGTCCTTGACCTTATTTTCATGGTTCAGCGACTGCTTGAAAAAAAAGTTTAGTTTTTTTGTTATGTAAATTTCTCACTTATTATGAGTAATAGGATAACTACATTTGGTATATGGGTTCCTTGCAACGTCTACATGTCCATCAGACAGGGTTCACCTGACCTCAGCCTCATTTCATGGATCAGTGATCAAGGTTAAAGTTACGTGATTAGGTCCGTTTCTCAGATACTACAAGCAGTAGGTCAGCTATATGTGGTGTATGGAATGATTATAAAGGATACATGTCAGTCTGGCAGGTTTCATCTGACCTTGACCTCATTTTCACGGTTCATTGGTCAATGTTAAGTTTTTGTGTTTTGGTCTGTTTTTCTAATACTATAAGCCATTGGTCAACTATATTTGGTGTATGGAATGATTGTAAGGTGTACATGTCTGTCTGGCAGGTGTCATTTGTCCTTGACCTATTTTCATGGTTCATTGGTCAATGTTAAGTTTTTGTGTTTTGGTCTGTTTTTCTAATACTATAAGCAATAGGTCAACTATATTTGGTGTATGGAATGATTGTAAGGTGTACATGTCTGACTGGCAGGTGTCATTTGTCCTTGACCTCATTTTCATGGTTCATTGGTCAATGTTAAGTTTTTGTGTTTTGGTCTGTTTTTCTAATACTATAAGCAATAGGTCAACTATATTTGGTGTATGGAATGATTGTAAGGTGTACATGTCTGTCTGGCAGGTGTCATTTGTCCTTGACCTTATTTTCATGGTTCATTGGTCAATGTTAAGTTGCTCTTGTTTGGTCCTCTTCTCAGATACTATAAGTTATGTATTAGATACAATACAAAGGTAACAAAGAAACAGGCCGGTAACAACCGTTGCCGGATAGTTTTTCTGCACGAGTAGTCAGGTCAAGGTCCGAGGCGATAGCCGAGGACCTTGACCTGACTACAAGTGCAGAAAAACTATACGGCAGTTTGTTTCCGGCCTGTTTTTTTGTTACCTTTGTTTTGTATCTAACTTGTACGACGTTTCAAGAAAGAAGTAGTACATTTTGCATTTAGAAGAGGTAGCAAAATTAAACAGATTAGAAACGTAATTGGCCATATACCAGTTAATGTAAGTTACAGTTAAAACAAACTTTTTTTTCATTTCCCTTCAGCCGAGAGTTTTTTCTTGAGAAATTCAAGAATCTAATAATTTTATAAAAAGGACCATGTCATGTAAAAGATGAATGTTGTAAACATTTGAGACTTTTTAAAATGCAACTTTGCAAGTAAGTTCTGCATGAAAAATATTTCAGAGGTAACCAAGCTAACATTTGATTTTTATTTGGGGGGGAAACGGAAAAGGGGGGGGGCGTAAAATAAATTTATAATATACAGGTTTGTTCCTTTTTTTGTCGAAAAACATGCAGGATGTGCCATTCCATTCCCCCTTTAAAAAATAACAAAAACCGTACATTTGCTACCAAATACATGAATTCAATATACATGATATATATGAATTTAATAACAATATAAATGTATAAAAAAAAAAATCCTATTTCATTAGTAAATGAAATGTTATTAAAAAATGGATTTTGTCTTGTTATTAGATATATATAGGCATATATTTTGGATTTGTTTTGAAAATGTCATGCTTGTAGGTTTTTTATGTCTCTAATAGTGTTGGTCAGGATTAAACACGTGTCACAATATGATCCAATTGCAGCTTACCGTCCAAAATTGGTGACATAAGTTGAATGATTTTCTTCAAGATTTGCTGCCTATTTGAACATGTATTACACGGACACTTTTTATCTATAGGATCAATCGTGCATTGGTGAGTTCATAGGGATTTTATCTTTTGATTAGATTTGATTTTTTATATATATTTCCTGTCTTTTTTATTGAAATATAAACGTCGCTACCAGCATTTCTTTACTTTCAGCATTGTCCAGAATACTATTCATGTCCATAAATTGAAGAAAAAAAAAAAAGAAAATCAGTAATCAGAACATTATTTTGTCAATATATTTTTTTCTCATAAAATTGGGGATCAGAATATTTTAAGGAAAAAACCATAAACCCCCTTTTGAAGTTAAATGGTCAATCTTAGTGTACTGACATGAATAGTAATATACTGGAATTGTTTGAACAAAATATAGTTATTGATAACAACGTAAATATTTTAATAAAAAAGACAGGAAATATGTCGGTGAAACAAAAAGTTCAAATCTAATTGAAATTTAAAGTGCCCATGAACTCACTGATCATGCACAAGTGATTCTATTCATAAAAAAGTGTCCGTGTAACAACTAAAAAGTGTCCGTGTATCATCTAAAAAGTGTCCGTGTAACACCCGTTAATGTACTGTTTTTCTATAGCTCTGCTGGGGGCAAAGTCGTACAAAGGTCAACTATATGTGGTGTATGGAATGATTGTAAGGTGTGCACGTCTGTCTGACAGGTTTCATCTGACCTTGAGCTTATTTTCATGGTTCATTGGTCAATGTTAAGTTTCTGTTGTTTGGTCTTCTTCTCAGATGCTATAAGTAATAGGTCAACTATATTTGGTGTATGGAATGTATTTTATTATTTAACTGCTGATTACTTTCATTGAAATAGATTATTTTATAAAAATCTTTAAATAACATTAATAATGATAATAAATAATAAAAACTTTTAAGGGATCATTACTAAACCGTGATTAACAAAAACATTGGAAGGTGTGAAAATGTTAAAATAAGGTCACTCATGCATGAATGTTTAACATAGAATACAGTTCACTCCAATCCCTTCATAAAGATTAATTGGCTGAATATGTACAGATTGAAGAACTTTTGAAATTTTGTTTGCACAACAGAATCACATTTACTGATTTTTGATACATATGAAATAAGATAAGTATTGAGATAAGTAAAAAATATTTTAGCATAGCAACATAAATAGATAAATAGATTATATGAAAATATGACTTTTTACAATATTTTGATCAAAGATTGAAGATAATTTTATTTTTATTTTTTTTTTTTTTTTTGGGGTGGGGGGGTCTTTCAGGTTCATCTCAAGGAATTGACAAATATTTATCCAGTTTCTGCAATGCCTTAAAACTTTTCCTTGTGCACAGGTTTGTCTGTACTCAAGAGGAAATTAAAAAAAATGGCCATATTTGTCAATCCCTTCTGATGAACCTTAAATCTAGATGAAAAATTATTTCATAAGAAATTTCAAAGTTTGCTTTTAGTAGTCATTTGACTTAATGTTTCAAAAAAAAAATTTGTATAATGCGATTTTATTTACTCAAATGTTGTTGCTATATTTGCCTGTGATTTATTAGCCAAAAGTGTATCCCATGTGATTTTATGATGCTGTTTTTTCTAAAAACATGTTACTCAAAATGAATGTAAAAGCATTACAGACCTATATTTAAGCCTAAGGTCAAGGTAACTAAAAAAGACTAAAATTTGAACATAGGTTTCAGGATGTATTCAATGGGATTGCAACTTAACTTGGATATGTGGCTACATAAATTAACAGAAAGAAGAGGAAGATCCCTGGCTATTGTTTTTCAAGTCGCTATGTCTTAGTTCGAGGTCCTATTTACTAACAATAGATTTGCAGAAGACCATATTACTGTCTTAAATCATGATTTATATGGGGGCCATGGTAATGTGAGCTTGCTCACTAAAGGTCTATTATATTTCGTTAAGAATGTCAAGAACTGTAAAACAAAATCTACAAATATGCAAATATTACTCAAATCATCAGATCACTTATTCAAAGATGTATTTCCCTTTCATGCTTTTAATGCTAAGTAGTCACTTCCTTTTTAAGCTTACCTGGCCAAAATTGCCATTGTGAGATTTTGCCATCAATTGGCATCCATCGTCTGTCTTCATTGCATACGTAGGCCGATAATTTTTACAAAAATCTTCTCCTGTTTGAAGATACAATAGCGAGAATTTTTCATCAAAGTCTAATCAAGGAGTGGAGGTATACTCTGCAGGACATAGCGGGCAACTTCTCGTTGCAATTAGCAAATGTGTCATTTTTATATTGTGTTTTACAGATATGTATACATGCAATGAGTGCCGCAAAGCTTACAAGACTAGAAAAGGTCTTCAAAACCATGCATGCAATATATGCAAATTATGCCAAAAAACTTTCGCATCTGCACAGAATTTAAAAAGACATTGTTGTAAACAACAGACATTAAGCAGAGAAATTCATTAATGCAGATTTTGTCATAAGGAATATTCTACTGAGAATCGACTGGGATCTCATAAATGCTCATATATACAAAAAATACCAAATACTATCAGTATATTGTAATAAGTAAGTTCGATTACCTCCCCTTTAACATGTTGACTGAGATTATATTGATGTTTGCGCATTCTGTGCTAGTGTTCTACTTCTGTGTAAAGTTTCATTCAAATCTGTCCATCCTGTCAACATTTGTGAGGAGTTGAGCTTCTGAAAGACTTTTACCGTAAATTGTAAAATAAAATAAGTAAATTTTATTATCTCTCCTAGAACATGTGTGACTGGGATTATATTCAATTACATACATCCTTAGGTAGTCTTTTACAACTAAGAAAGGTAAAATAAAAATCTGTCCACCCATCAAGGAGGTGTTGCACTTATAAGGCATATGGACAGAAATGCAAACAGACTGACAGATGGTGATTCCTATATACATCCCCTATTGTAATATCTTCACATTTCAATCACCTTCAGTATCACATTCAGTATATTTTTTTAAGAAATCATGAAAAAGAAGTTTTTTAATTTGAGGGATAAATGCCAATGACACAGCAACCCACTGATATTCATAAGGCAATGTCTTGGAGCATCTAGTTTTGTATTGAGTACAATATATTGAGGACAAAACTCGGCAGATTCCGGTACATATATCCAACTTATGTAGGTTATCGGAATCTGCTGAGGTTTACCGACTTAAAAAATACCAATATGGCAACAAAAGACATAAGGACATTAGTACTAAATGTTTCAACTTTTTTTCTTCTTTGATCATATACAAAAGAGAGGGACGAATGATACCAGAGGGACAGTCAAACTCATAGATCGAAAACAAACTGACAACGCCATGGCCAAAAATAAAAAGACAAACAGACAAATAATAGTACAGATGACACAACATAGAAAACTAAGGACTAAGCAACACGAACCCCACCAAAAACTGGGGATGATCTCAGGTGCTCCGGAAGGGTAAGCAGATCCTGCTCCACATGTGGCACCCGTCGTGTTCCTTATGTTATTACAAATCCGGTAAATAGTCCAATTCGGTAGGTCACATTCGTGAAAAGGGAAGGGTATTGTAATTACGACATAAGTAACATATCCGATATCATCTGTGAAACGGTTATTCCATAACAGTCAACCAACTCGTGATGGCGTCCGTAAAATGTACGAAGGGATGACTTCAACTTCACCATTTGGAACTCTTGGTTTAATAGCTTCCTTGTGAGCAGCAATCTTCTATCAAGGAAATCATGATAGGAAATACAAGCCCGGGAATATCGTATCAATTGGGAGATATATACTCCGTATGCAGGCGCTGCTGGAATGTTGCTACATAGAAATGGAAAGTTCACAATTGGAAAGCTGAAATCATCTCTTTTGTCGTAAAGTTTTGTTTTCAACCGACCCTCATTGTCAATTTCTAGATGTAAGTCAAGATATGAGGCAGACTTAACTGTGTCTGTAGTATCCTTTATCTCTAGTTCGATGCGAAAGATTCGTTCAACAAGCTGTAAATGAGACCAATGACTGAATATCAGTGTTTTCCTTATAGGGAGTGGGGATTATGGGCGGGACCTGGTGCTATAATGTCCAATGCTGAAGATATGACGAAATGGATGAAATTCCATTTGAACCGAGGCCTTGACAAATATGTCATTCCATTAATGAGTCAGTCTTATTTTGATGCATTACATGCAGAACATATCGGTTTATCCTACACCACAGTCAATGAATATTTCAAAAATCAGATAGAGCCAACGGAGCATACAGGATACGGATTGGGATCTAAACTCGGAACATATAGAGGTAATTCGTAGTGATATTTTCCGGAATTGTTTCTCTGACTTTCATGTGTAGATGATTACTTGTTCATGTTTATTGTCTTTTGTTGATACTTGCTTTATTGCCGGGTTATCATGCAGGCATACCATCATTTTTTTATAATACTTTCTTTATTCATTCTTTATTTTAAAAGAAATTAAAGGGTATATATGATTGATAGCTTGTAAACACGTACATCTGTGTTAATTGTCTATAGCAATGTCTGATATTGGGTGTATAGAATAAATGTATTTGACAAGTGTCTACAGTACAGTATACTATGTGGTATTGTTTTACTTGTATCTGTGTTTATGGCGTATTGGTATTGTAGAGTTAAGTTTTGAACTTTTTCTGGTTTGATCTTTATAGTAAGGTCATCCATGAGGTATGTTTTCTTGTTACATTGATTTAAATAACAAGATCGAAGGTGAATTTTAAAAAAAAAAATAAGATTAATTTACATATTTTGATTTCTAACAAGAAATCGAGTTCTGTGAGCGCAATTTGCCTTTATACTTTTTGAAAGTACATTATTAGATTTATCTTCTTTTTCTTAATTATGTCGTTTAGTTTTCTTTTTGTTCACAAAAAAATAGGTTTTCCATATATAAACTATACAACCGCCTCCGGTTGCGGGATTTTCTTGTTGTGTTGAAGACCTATTGGTGGCCTTGTGCTGTTTTCTGCTCTTTGGTCGGATTATTGTCTTTTTGACACATTCCCCTTTTCATTCTCAATTTTAAAATGTGACAATTGTTCACAGCCTATAGCTTGAAAATTGAAAAAAAAATCTTCTGTAACCCACACTTCATATTACATTTTTGACAATATCATGATATAAACAACATTTTGGCAAAGAAACATAAATCTATCGTTTTTAAATTACGTCCCTTTTAACCGTAATGTTGGTTTTTATTTTTATTAATTGAATTTGTTGTTAAAAGCAGAACCTTCTCTTGTCGACAGCAATGGAAGTTCAATTTTTTATCATCGTATCCATTATAAATAAGGGAAGTCATTATAATTGGTCTTCCTCGAGCAAAAACCATATTCCCATTTCAATAGAAAATTCATTAACAATTTGATCGTAGGTGAATGTTTTCATTGCTTTGTTAAAACAATTTTTAATTGTAGGTAAAAATATTTTGTTACATGGTGGCAGTACCTTCGGTTATAGATCTTTTATGACCTTATTTCTTGATCAGAAAATTGTTGTCTTTACTTCTATGAATGGGGAAGATCAAGATGATAACACGTATAAATTCCGCGTCCTGCTTCACAACTTCTTGTCGAATGTTGCCCTGAATGTCTCACCGTGTTTTAATGCTTCGGCAATACTACAACGGCTTTCGAAACCTAGATATAAAGGATATAGCACACAAACTCAGGCAAAACGAAGTTTGACGGATTACGTTGGTCATTACAATAGTCCAATATACGGAAATAGTATCGTTAAGATAAAAGAAAATAACAAACTAGGTCTAATCTATGGAAATGGTACTTGGAATTTATGGTCAAAATCTACTAAAGATGAATTCAAAGGCACTGCAACAGTACAAATATCTAAAGCTTCAGCTGCTTACGATACAGTTTTGATCCCACGCTGAATTTTTACGAAAATTTGCATACAAGCTTGAATCTTGTCAATTCAAATATGTATTTAAAAAAAATGCTATCATGTGCTAATTTAAGAGATAAATGGGGTCCACATTTTAAACATTTACTAAAAATTTCGGTTTCTTGGACTTTTCTATCCTTTGGACAGACATACCTAACTTTTTTGTTTCAAAAGATAAACACAATCGGATTTCTGTAAAACATTTGGGATATCTTCTCAACATAAGTAAGCTCTAAATTGGTGAGATAATTTTTTTTAAAAATGTTCCTACAATTTTAGAAAAACAGCAGTTTTTGCTTCATACATAATAAAGTCAAAAGTCAATTAAAAACAGAGGGGTCAATGTACTCGTTTTCGAGCTAAATATTAAAATCAGTCGAAAAATGCATCTTTTCCCAATATGTCACAGTTTGACGTCGCGAAAAATAACAATTTACGTTAGCAGATCATGATCGTCATTACCTCCTCTGATAACTGTATCGTATGTCCCTTTAGAAATATTTACTCAAGAAAGTTTTATATCACTTTGTTTTATTTTAAAATTTGTTTGTTTTAATCTCGAATTATTGATGCTATTGTCATGTCAAATGTGTATGCCCTTCGTGGCACGTAATTTGAATAAAATATTCTTCTTCGTCTTGTTGTACAATAGGTTATATTTTTTTTACAATTTGTAGTGAAGAAAAAGAGACATTGTAAGACAGCAAACTAACACAAAAAACACATCTACAAGTAAAAAATTAAGTTCTCGTCTATAAATATATCAATAAATAACTATTTCAATTAATATCAACATCCAGGATTGAAAACTGGCTTGATAGATCTGACAGACAAAGAAAAAAGTAAAATACATTTACATAAAAAAAAGGTGAATAAAAAAAGACAGACATCATCGTGGTCAGAACAAAAACAGACCACAAATTGAATATTGAGTAACACAACTCACCAAAATTGTGTATGAACCAAGGTGATCCAGAATGGCAACAGTTCTTGTTCTATTAGTGGCACCCGTTATGTTCCTTATTTAAAGAAAAAAATAGTAAAAGTCGCATACGATTAAGTCATAAATCTGGAAAGGGGACGAGATTGTGGTTACAAGTGGAACATATGCGTAGTCATCTGTAATATAGATTTGCCATAACTGTGACGGTGTCGAACAAATTATGATGTGTCCGTTAAATTTTCGATATATGAACCTTGGTTCACTAGCACCCTTGTAAACAGCAACCCTCTTAGTCTACAAAGGAAATAATGATAAGACACACTAACCCTGAAATATCGTATTGACCGGGAGATATATTTTCGTGCTTTGTCATCAATTGAGAAGAAAATTATTGTGTGATATGAAGCAAGTCCTGTTTTCTTAAAGACAAACACCCGCGGGTTTGCTGTTTATCATAATACGTAGAACAATCATTGTTAAAATTCAAACACAAAACTACCACATAAATACATAGATGCTATAGTTATTGATAATATATTTTTAATTAGAAATATACATAATAATATGTTAGATTTTGATTTGTTACATATGAAAATTGAATCAATAAAAATTAGTTTTTAATAAGAAAAATGTATTCATATAGAGAGAGGTATACACACAGTTTAATGGCATTTTTGTCTCCAGAATTACTGATTTTAAGATATTCTTAATAGGGTTCAGCTGATAAATGAAAAATAGTTTGACAAAAATGCAGTCCGAATTAGAAATAAATGTCAATTTCAAAGACATAGTTTTGACTATTGAACAAATGATTCATAATTTATTCAAACCTTCAAAAAGGAATTGTGAAAAAAAAACTTTCACTTGAGATTAGCATTACTTTTTTGTCGTTAAGAATGCCTCTCAATAAAAACTGTGAGTGATCATTGTGAAAAAACCAACATTAAAAAAGTATTTATTCAAATAAAAGGACAAAAATTTAAAATTAAACCACGGTGAACAAATAATGATCAACGATTTAAAGTCCTTTATTTAAAAAAAATTCTGTAATGGGCATCTTTGTACCATTCTTGAAAACTTGTGGTGACCTAGTAACTAATGCTTGTAAATACGAAAGGAAAACAGTTGAGAAATTGCCTTGATTACTCCCACGGAAATTTACTTTCTTTCATGCAATGAAACCTTATGTGAAGTTTATTACTGGACTACTAAAATGTTATTCATGCCAAGTATTTCTTTATTTGAAGCAAACTTGTGAGCCAATTTAGAGAGAACATATTGAGTTATCATGGGACATGATGCAAAATGTCGAATTTAAACGATTAAAACCCTTGGGCAACAAATGTTATGAGCTTGACTTCACACATCCAAATGTTATACACAAAGATCTATCAAGACAAATGTCATGTCTTTTCGTTTTAGTTTTTCGAACTTGCTGTCTCTTAACCGTATTCTCCACATCTACTTTATTCATATTGAGTTATGATATCATGAGATGTGTGGGCACGGATATTGGTTTACCATAATTCAGATGTTCTTCGTTTACGAGCGAATTAAAATCTTCTATGTAATAATATTAAACTGTGCTAATTTTACTGCACCAGGTGAGTATTTCAATTTGTATTCAGTACAATATGGCTTTGATCATATTTCATCGATTTCCCCATCATTGAAAATAAAGTTGCATGTTTTAAGCCCTAAACGTCACCACCACTGGCATAATGAAAAACCCCTAACGCCAAAACCCTTATCATAATGGAAAACCCCTAATACACCAAGACCCCTATCATAATGAAAACCCCTAATACACCAAGACCCCTATCATAATGAAAAACCTCTAATACACCAAGACCCTTACCATATTGAAAATTAATTAAAACGTTACGGCTCCAGTCATTAAGAAAACAAGAATATTCTTTTCAAAATGATCATGATAAGAAAAGATAATAAAATGTTACTCGCAACTCGATTCGCTAAATAGAAAGACTCGTTCATACAAAATTATTCTACTGTTTACTTGCTTGCATCGAGTGCATGAAAATCGTGGGTAACAAGTCAGAGGTTCCGATTGTTGCATTTGAACTTACAACCAACGACCCCACACTAGCTTTTTTATAAATCGATCTATATAAAACTAGTTAGCGGTCACATTATCTTGAATCCTAATCGGTCTATCGGTCTAATCTGAACCACGGCGTTCACACTAAATGTAAAAATGCAATCGATCTGACCTTATAATCCGTGAAATTGTAAACACTGTGTATAAATAGAAATATCTTATCAAATTAATGTGTTGATACACACGCTTTCAAAAAAATAATGGAAGAAGTTATTGTTTCACTTGAATTTCAAGTTCAAATGTTGATACTGCTGTTCGTGTAGTTTTCGTTCATTTTTAACCATTTTATGTTGGTCACCAATTGTGTAATAAATTGCGCGTGTAATTTTGCCGCCAAAAATTATTTTCGATTCAATCGTACTAGTTTAGATCGATCTCTGCGTTCACATTTAAAGTAACATCGGTTCACTTAAGATCGATTCAAACTAAACTACCTCTTTTGGTGTTTTAATTTAGACCGATTCAAGATCGATTCAAAGCGTTCACATTGGGCTTACATCGATCTAAAGTGAACTGATCTAGTTGAAATCGATATAAATGTCCAAGTGTGAAAGGGGTCATAGATACAGTATTTAAAATTCATGTGATGAGTTTGAATAGTATTATGTTAAACAGCAGCAAACTTTGTTACATAAAAAGTTTTAAAGAATGTTAATATTTTGTCAGGCTGAAATTCAGTATTTTGGAGCTGGGTATGCCTGAGGGTAACTTGGTTGTTGTGGATACGGTGCTCCCGGGTATCCAGATTGTGGATATGTTTGTCCAGATTGTGGATATGTTTGTCCAGATTGCGGATAATTTTGTCCAGATTGTGGATATGTTTGTCCAGATTGCGGATATGTTTGACCAGATTGTGCTGTAACTACATGTGCGCCACCTTGTGTTTGTAAAACTGTTCCGGCGTTGTTACGACCTGTGAAAGAAATACGTCAAATTAGTTTTTATACATACTTGATCTTTCCTACACCAATGCAATATTTATTTATCAGATCAAAGTGTATAAAAATATACATCAATTGTTTTGTAACTTTGTTAAAAATTGTATAATTACATCGTTCTCAGAATAACAAAGTTGATACAGATCCATAACATTTATTTAGAAGGTGATATTATAACAGATGTATTATTTGAGCGTGTTCTTCGTACATTAAAGTTAGTTCTCTGGTTTCTTATGTGAACAATGCATTCTTTACGAGGTATTGTAAATACAGAAACAAAACGGTAAAAAAGCTTTATCAGCCGCCCTTTTGTTACTCTTCTTATGATTTGATTGGCTAGTATAACGATAATATATTTCCATTTGTATGATTACATTGTTGTAAATCTGGAGAAAACTCGTCATTGGAAATGCTTTGTTAAAAATGATATCAAAAGTTGTTTACTTACGTCTGACACAGGCACAAATCACACCAATAAAGATTGCTACACCAACCAGGCAACCAATCACAATTCCAACAATGAGTCTAATGAAAAATTAAAAAAAGAATTATAATGATTAATCAACAACAAAACAGAAAATGACATACAAATCATCGTCAGTTGAAGTATCACGTACAGGTAAAAAGAGACAAACCTGACATGACATATCGAATACAGTTGACATATCATTTGTCCAGGTACAAACAGCCATAAACAACAAGTTAAGACCAATCAATGTCAGTTGACATATCAAATGTTCAGTTACAAACAAACAAACAACGAAATGACATTATCAACATAAGTTAAAATATATGTCCAGGAACACACAAACAATCATGAAATGACATATCATATAAGTTAAAATATATGTCCAGTTACAAACAGACAAACATGAAATGAAATAAGTAACAATATATGTTCGAACAAACAGACAAACATGAAATAACATATCAACAGAAGTTAAAATATATGTCCAGGAACAGACATCAAACACGAAATGGCATATCAACATTATTTTAAATAAATGTCCAAGAACAAACAGACAGAATTGAAATAACATATCAACATAAGTTAAAATATATGTTCAAGAACACACAAACAGACATGAAATGACATATCAACATAAGTTAAAATATATGTCCAGGAACACACAAATAAACATGAAATTACATATCAACATAAGTTATATTATGTCCAGGAACACACAAACAAACATGAAATTACATATCAACATAAACTTAAATATATGTCCAGGAACAGACGGACACACATGAAATGATATGTCAACATAAGTTAAAACATATGTCAAGGAACAAACAAACAAACATGAAATAGCATATCTTCATAAGTTAAAATACATGTCCAGGAACAAACAGACAAACACGAAATGACATATCAACATAAGTTAAAATATATGCCCCGGAACAGACAGACAAACATGAAATGACATGTCAACATAAGTTAAAATATATGTCCAGGAACAAACAAACAAACATGAAATAACATATCAACATAACATAAAATATATGTCCAGGAACAAACAGACAAACATGAAATGCCATATCAATATATGTCAGTTGACATATAACATGTCCACTTACACATATACCAAAAAATGAAATGACATATTAATGATAGTGCATATATCAATCCGTATACATGTATAAACAGACGTGTTTATCTTGATAGTTTAAAAAATCATTTATCCGTTGATGTTCCAATACAGACATATCTATTTGCATAGACTTTACTCCCCCACTACTTAGACTGGTTGATGTCCCGGAACAATCATATCAATCTTGATAAAACAAGATTTAGAAACCAAATACAGAGACATGTTTATCCTTGTACGAATACGTATCCATCTTGATAGTGCAAAATTTTCTCACCCAGTACTGAAACATGTTGATGTCCCGGTACAGACGTTTCCATCTTTTTATTGAATTATTAACTCACCCGATACTGAGACAAGTTGATGTCCCCGTTAAGACGTTTCTAACTTGTTACGGAATGATTAACTCACCAAATACTGATACATGTTAATGTCCCTGTACAGACGTATCCATCTTGATAGTGCAAAATTTACACACCCAATACTGAGACATGTTTATCCTTGTACATGTACGTATACGTATCAATCTTGATAGTGCAAGATTTACTTACCCAGTACTTAGACATGATGAAGTCCCGTACTGAGGTATCCATCTTGAAAGTATGAGATTTACTCACACAGACTGAGACATATTGATGTCCCCGTACAGACGTGTCAATCTTGATAGTATAAGATTTACTCACCCAGTATTGAGACATGTTGATGTCCCTATGCAGATGTATCCATTTTGATGGTACAAGATTTACTCACCCAGTACTGAGACATGTTGAAGTCCCCGTACAGACGTGCCAATCTTGATAGTATAAGATTTACTCACCCAGTACTGAGACATGTTGATGTCCCTGTAGAGATGTATCCAATTTGATAATACAAGATTTACTCACCCAGTACTGGGAAATGTTGATGTCCCTGTACAGACGTTTCCATTTTGATAGTACAAGATTTACTCATCCAGTACTGAGACATATTGATGTCCGCATACAGAAATATCCTTCTTGATAGTATAAGATTTACTCACCCAGTACTGAAACATGTTGAGGTCCCTGTACAGACGTATTCATTTTGATAGTACAAATTTACTCACCCAGTACTGAGACATGTTGATGTCCTAGTACAGACGTTTTCATTTTGATAGTACAAGATTTACTCATCCAGTACTAGGACATGTTGATGTCCTAGTACAGACGTTTTCATTTTGATAGTACAAGATTTACTCATCCAGTACTAGGACATGTTGATATCCGCGTACAGACATATCTTTGATTTACTCACCCAGGACTGAAACATGTTGATGTCCCTGTACAGACGTATCCGTTTTAATAGTACAAAATTTACTCACCCAGTACTAAGACAAGTTGATGTCCCCGTACAGACATATCTATCTTGGTAGTATAAGACTTACTCACCCAGTACTAACACATGTTTTAATCATAGTACAGACGTATCCATCTTGATAGTACAAGATTTACTCACCCAGTACTGATACATGGTGATGTCTTTGTACAGGCGTATCCATCTTGATAGTACAAGATTTACTCACCCAGTACTGAGACATGTTGTAGTCCCAGTACAGACGTATCCATCAGGACAGCACCATGACGTTCCACTGCAGTGGTGGTACCCAGAATAACACAAATCACTAAAACCTGAAAATATTTCAAACGTTACTATCAGAATGAAATAAGATAAATAAAAAAAAAGTAAACATATATATCGAACATGACGTATTGACAGTAACAAGATGTCATGTCAATAAATAAGATTTCCGGGAGATTAGAATAAAAAAAAACAGTTCTTGCGAACCAATATCTCAAAACACAGTCCAGAAACGGGATAGTTTCAGTACTAAATAACTTTTACAATATATTGTTAAAAAATCTGTCATATCAGCATGTTACCTTGCATTATTGAAGATTTACTGAGATGCAAAGTCAATAAGTTTATCATTTTTTTTCAAATATCTATATGGAATCACATTACGTCATAATGGTGTTCACCTCACGTCCCAAGGAAGTTTCGCGCTTTTCAATTAGTTATGGCCAAACACTTTGCAGTGCTTAAAAGAAAACTTTCACTTCTTGCAACATAGTGCCATGAAACGAATGTCGAGCAGATTTATATATGTTAAGGGGATTATTAATAACCCATACAATAAATTGGGAAATTAGACCAACTAAAATAATAACAAAAACGCGACATAAAAGAAACAACAATTTCAAAGAACATCTAACTAGAAATATGTTGAAGATATGATATGTGGTATACCTATTGATGTCAACCCTACTACTATATCAAAAAGTTCCCCCAAAAATCTGTTCACATAAAAACACAAAAGTCTAACGGCTCTAACATACCACCACTCCGGAAAGAGGTTTTACTTACATCTGATCCAAAAACAAAAGCTGACATATTAAATGAACAGTTCCACAAAGCATGCACATTTGTAATGTAACAGATTACCCCAAACCAGATAAGGGCGTCAATAACATCATGTGCCTGATCTCATCCATGGAAAAATCTTAAAATAGTGCAAGACATATATCCCTCCAATCACTGAACACTTGAAAGATCCCAGATGATTGGGCGTCATTCAAGTATATTTCCAGCATTCAAAAAAAGGCGACAAACACGATCCTATAAACTATTACCCATTTCTTTAACATGCATCTGCAGCAAATTTTAGAACATGTCGTAGCTATGAAACGTCGGAAAAAATTAAAATTCTATGTAACTTCCAACTTGGTTTTCGATCATCTCGCAGATGCTGATTTAGGGTGGGAAAGGGTCCCCTCCCCCCCCCCCCCCCACTTTGTGGGGAAAATGTGGTTGATTATATAGGTAATCACTAAGGCATGACTGGAGCGGGCCCCCTCTTGGGCAGTCAGTGGGCCCCCCTTTTGAAAATTTCTGGATCCGCTACTGTTTCGTTTCTGTGAAACTCAGGTAATATCATTGAAGTATTCATGACCTTTGGATGTGTGCTGAATGATACTTTAGTCTTAGATACATATTGGTTTATAAGTTGCTTTTGGATTTGAACTAGCTGTCAGTAACTGCGAGTACTCTCAGACCTGTACTTTCCGTCTTTTTTGTTGTAGGGATGTATAAATACCCTGTCACGTCCTGTCTGTGTTTTTGTGATCCGATGAGTAAAGACCTTATCAAATTATTTTTATAGTTTGTTCAAATGTTGTACTGTTGCACTGCTGTCCCACCAGGATAGGGGAAGGTTGGCGCCCGCTAACATGTTTTGCCCCGCCACATTCTGTGTGTACAAGGTCAGGAGCCTGTGATTCAGTGGTTGTCTTTTGTTGCTGTATATAATATTTGTATTTCGTTAATTGTCATTTTTTTTTTACATAAATCCGGCCGTTTGTTTTCTCGTTTGAATTGTTTTACATGTGTCATTTCGGGGTCCTTTAAAGCTGACTATGCGGTATGGGTTTTGCTCATTGGTGAAGGCTGTATGGTGACCTATAGTTGTTAACCTCTATGTCATTTGGTTTCTGGTGTAGAGTTGTCTTATGGCAATTATACCTCATCTTTTTACTTTTATACTTAGTCTATTTGTAAAGCTTTTAAAACCTTTAAAGTTATAAAAAAAACTTCCGCATTTACAAAATGATTAAATCTTAAATCAAAATATTTCCGCTTTTCCGAAACAAGCAGTTGAAAGAATGTTTATAAAAACGTAATAATCTGATGAATTCAAATATATATAAAAATAAATTTGAAGATCCGGCTATGCGGCGTCTCGGGACCAAGAAGTACGTGGATCGACAATAATGTCGATGTGCAATATCATTAAATGTTGAATAATAATAAGTCAATTGCATGTAAAACTTTACTGTACATGAATTCAGTCGTCCGTTTGCTGGTATTCAAAAGAAATATATCTGTGTATTTGAGCACTATATGATTGAACCGTTGTCTTTGTAGTAGAATCGCAAATATTTTAATTAATACATGACCTTTTCGGATTGCATTTTTTAAATGTGTAGTTTCTAAACAATGTGTTTTGTGACTGAATATTGATAATGAGATGTATTCTTATTATGTCGTTAAGACTCGTCCGAGTAATGATAAGAGCTGAAATGACTTTCTTTGCTATTTAGGAATGATAAAAGAAGAGTCTCCATCGCTGTCTAATGACGACTAATATTTTCTACGTAAAAAGCAAGCCACAAAAAGTAAATGAGCTTTTATAACTTTAATTCCTCAAAGGACAAAAAACTTAAATATAAACAAAGACTAACAAAGATGACGTTTCTTTCTGGAAACAGGAACATTAATTTTATTATTGGCATACAATTATACCAAGACGATTTAAAAAGGGAACATTTTTGTTAAGAGCTTGCAATAGGACTTGAGTTAGAAAGCAGTAATTTTCATGAAATTTATTCCATTGTCTGAACAGCAGTAAAAAGACCGTTAAGTAGAATGTTTATTTGTATGTATTCATACCATAAGTATCTATACAAAAATAGCGAAATTTGAAAAAAAATGGACAGCCTATGAAACAATTTATGTGTACCCATTTTACACAAGTCATTTACAGTCATCGAGGTCACTTTGATTAGTCGCTGGCATCAGCGGCTAGAATTCGTTAAACGACAGCCAATTAGCGAGATTAACACTTCATAAATTTCGTTCGTCCTAAGCGCATTTCTGGATTTACCTTCCACAGCAACACTCAAACGCTAAGAATCACCTCAGACGTCTTTTAATTGAATCAGCACAGTGATTTCAGGAGATGTAGATGTTTGATATAACTTAGAGCTAAATAGTGAGAAAAACGACACCACCAAATAGGAGGTTAAAGAAAGGGAAAAAAATATATTATTTATATTTACCTGTAATTTTCACAATAGCCTGAAGTAAAACCGTTGAAAGAACACTGATGCACAATATATATTTCATTTTGATTTTTGTTAATAGTTAACAGTGCGCCTTATACTTTAAAAATGGTCTCTGAACTTAAAACATATCGGGAAGCAATATCACGTGATGTTGGTCATATTCACGCTATGTAGACACAGAGGGTTCAATTGAAGTCGGGACAAATGCACTGCTGTCAAAAGTTAGATTTGTTCATTTTTTTCTCAATTTTAGGTATGGGGGTCAAAGCAAAAAATGAAAGTATTTCTTAATACTTTGCTTAAACGTAGCTTTAATTTTTGTTTTTTTTCAAAAATATATTAAAAAGTATAGGTTACCGAGCTGTTGTCAAGCTACAGGTTGTGAAAAGTTGGCATATTTGCGATGATTATACATGGAAAAAGCATTATGAGTACAGAAAGAAAACAAAAAGAGACAATTTTGAAATAAGATATAAGAAGATAGCTCTTATTACATGGTTACAGAAAAAATAGAGTCGCCGAACTTGCTACATACAAAAATCGAGAATGTTCTTTACTTCCAATTATTGAATTACATTATCTTAGTTATTCCTCTCATAATGCAAAGTCGATAGAAACCGATCACTTCATAACATGCCAGCTTCCACGAACTGTCAGACTTATAATGGCATTATTCAAGAGCGGGACACTACTGCTAGCTATTGAGACGGGACAATATTCCAGAATGCAAATACCATTAAATGATAGACTTTGTAAATTTTGTAATACGAACTCTGTGGAACACGAAATACATTTTAATGGTTTATCCTTTATAAACAGACATCCGATACGAACTTCTCCTAAACGCACTATCACTTATTTATGACTTTGGCAGAATGAACACAGAGACAAGATTTATTGCGCTTATGAACTGTAAATACATACAAACTTTTCTAGGTCATACATTGAAAAGATTTTTTCTTTAGAAAAAAGTTTGTATGAAATCATAACTTGCAAACTTTTTATTTATAACCAGTATTTCTTCTATTTCTTTATATTTTTTTTTTCATTTTACATAAGGTTACTGTGATAGACATTTTTAGAAGATTAAATCAATCGACAATTTTATTTACTATATCATCACAATATTGACATTTGTATAAAGATTTTTATTTTTGTCAGATGTGGAATATTTTATGTCGTTATTAAAGACGTGCTTGTAAATAATTTATAAATCATATATTTCTTAAAGGGGTACTAGCTACGAGATATATAAAAAAATTAAGATATGATATTTTTTGTTTAATCATTAATGAAAGTGAAATAGTGAAATAATAATTCGCCTTGAGCAGCAAGTATGGTTCAATTTTGTCAAAATAAGCTAAGAAACATCGATTATGAATTATTCGCTTGCAAATGAATAATTCGACCTCATTGAATCAATATTCATGTGACCTTCAATTTAACACCTTAGCTAGATGGATTACGCATCAATTATGCATGTTCAGTTATTAAAAGTAAAAGGATGTCAACATTGAAAGTGAAACAAAGGTAAATCATTTGATTGACTGATTCGATCCACAAAAACTCATTCTTATACAGGTAAAAACGATGATTAACATATATTTTTAACCTATGATATGAAATTAAACAGACCTAGAAAAATCCAATTGCACGAGTTCGCCATCTATTTATATCGATTTTTATGTTTATATCGCTTATACTCGATAGTTAATTAGATGGCGTCTAGACTAAAATACACACGAAACGATGATACATATTATCGAGCCCATGTCTTGTAAATTGTTTATTTTAGACTTTTTATAATTTGGATATGCAATTTAGTATGTTATAAATCAAATATGAGAATTTGAGACAAATCGGTGAACATCAGTTTGACAGCCAAAACCCCTTTAATGTGTTTTATTGTTAATTTAATGTCTCGTAAGTCTATAAAAGCTGAGTATTGATCTTTGTTTTAACTGTTTTGTGTATTGAACATGTATATTTACTTGTAAGATCAATATGTGACACTTTAATAAAATACTTATTATCTTATCAATCTATCTTATCTTCATAAAAATGCATTAAAATATTTAAGTCGTGTAAGTAGATTAAATACATATATAAAGCCAATTGGATTCGATATTTGTACATGATATTCAAAGCTATATGCACCACATATGTCATTTGTAAATAAGAAAATAAGTTTAAAAATTTCAAATCGAGACTGCAGCAGTATGTTACTCTTTAAAATCAGCTTCTATTAGAATAGAAAATTTCTGAAGTTAGTACATGTTATTTTTTTTTGTAAAATAGAAGAGTAGTAAGTACACCATCGTCTAACAGAAATCAATTTTCAAAACAAGATATCAATAAAACATATAATATTTGGATACAAAATATCAGATCATGGGTAGTATGGTTGTAAATTTATTTTTTTCAGTTTTAGGTTTTTGCATTTACAAGTCATACTATGTTTCAAGGCAAAAATAGAAATTCGTAGATATATATTATTTGTTTATCAAAAAACTAAAACGAAGAGTTATGAACGAGAACAAAACGGTCTCTCAAAATATATGTTTCATATAACAAAACGATTTATCTGTTTATCTAATAGAATAAAATGAAAACATCCGAAGCGTCCGAAGCGTCCGAAGGGTATAAGAACACAAACATTCAAAGAGCTATTTGACCAATACGGATCTAAAACAAAATAGCCAAATCCATCTAATATAAGCTTTGCCTGAGTGAGTTGAAACCATAGATTTTAATTATTGATAACGAATAAACAAATATATGATCACATATTTCATAGTTTTGTTATCATTATTTCAATCCGTATTAACAAATTATAATACGTTTAGCGAATTATATGATTCGTGGTAACGATTTTAATCCGTGATCACGATTTTCTAAATTCTTGATCTATTTGTTTTTAGTTTCTTAATTGGTTTGTCGTACAACCCCATATTTTTTATAGGACAAAGCCCTAAAATATAAACAAAGACAAACATTGACGACGTTTCTAACCGGACAGGAACATTAATATTAGTATTGATATTAAATAGCATTTGAAAAAGAAGAGGTACAACAGGTACAAACATGAATTATAAGTTGACGATATTCAAGCTGCATACTTGCAAAGAAGATGTTTCACGGAGAAGAAACATGTAATTACCATGATTTTTCCAAAGGTCTGAAGTTCGGCAAAAAAAAAGAAAAAACCGTCAAGAAGAATGTATTTTTCTTCTTAATATAACTATATAATAAGAAATCTGCAATAGTTTTAATGGATATCATTTTACCTAAGACCTTTAACTTATTAGCTCGGTTGTTTAAGAAAATATATGTTTAAAAAAACTTGTCACACCGACTCTTTTTCGGAGCTAAAAAAAGGAAAAAGACATATAGTATTCATATTTACCTGTTATTTTCACAATAGCTTGAAGTAAAACCGTTGAAAGAATGCTGATGCACAATATATATTTCATGTTTGTATTAAATGTTCACAGCACACCTGTTTTAAGTCGATCGTAAAATATTTTTGCAAGTTGTCCCAGGAATTTTAAAAGATATCGGAAAGCAACATCACATGGTGTTGACCATACGCACGCTAAGTTGACACACATATTTTAATCGAGGTCGAACACTTGCACTGCTGTCAAAACAAAATTTTTGACTTTTTATCTTTTTAAAGGTATGAGGGTAAAAGCAAAAAATAACAGATTTTCTACATACTTATCTTAAACCTATTTTTTTTCAGCTATTTAGAATAAAAAACAAATATAGTTCACTACGCTTATTTTCAAGCTACATGTTGTGCGAAGCTGAATTATTTTGGTAACGATTATACATGTGACAATTCTTGCTACGTAATAGATAGATTTTTGAACATTTCATTTATTAGAAAATGCAATGACAAATAAACCGAATTCCAAGGTATTTTCAAAAAATGGAAATCCATAAAAACTGACAAAACAAATGCTCGGCTATACCAACCAACGAAACATCTAAAAAAAAACTATCATATTTGAGTGTTCACAAATATTTAGGTCTCTAGAATTAATGTAGAAAGATTAATTGTGTAAATGTGCATTTGGTGCAGCAAAATACAAAAGAATACCCCTGACAGGCAGTTTCCAAAGAAAATTGGTGACTTAAACCTGATTTTACAGCTAGCTAAACCTAGCTAGCTTAAAAATAAAACCAAAATGATTTCCTTTATTAAAATTAAAAATTGAAATTTTACATATTTCAATAAAAATTTGGACGATGTAATTTGCGATAGAAGATGGCGAAACCAACTCATTAAAAACAACAGTTTACAAAACACAACAAAGACGTTAACCTGAGCAACACGAATTTCACCTAAAACTGGGGTGATCGCAGGTGCTCCGGAAGGTAAGCAGACCCTACTCCACTTGTGTCACCCTTCGTGTATCTCATGTAAGTACAAATCTGGTGATGAGTCTCAGTCGAAGGAAGGAGGACGGGTTTGCGGGTACGAAAGCATGGCAAATTCTAGATGTTCAGAAAGTTAAAAACTGTTACGGATATTTTTGGCACTGCAATTTGATATTAAACTGAACAAACAGCTGAAAAATTTGACAACAAGACATAAATATTGTATGAGTTCATCCACTCACTTTAAAACAAACTATTTAATGTATTACAATATCTTATTTGACGCCCTTTTAAAGTGAAACACTCGTCAAGATTTGACAATTCAAGATCACATCTAACATTTTAACTTAGAAAATCGGAATGAGAAGACTTTTGGTGCAGAAGTATTTTACACTATTTTATTCTTACTTTCCATTCAGTATCCACGTTTTTTTTTGCACGATTAATCGTGCTTGAAACCGACAAATTTTATGACGACTTGTCTGTCTTAAATGAAAAAACATATGACTTTTCTTCAATATGTCCTCGACCGGGAAGTATGTCGATTCAATTGACAATGCGCAATTACATGTCATTCAGTACAGCAATTTCCAAAAAACCAAGAAGGTCCATTGTTATAGTGATACCTGATAAAATATAATTACGCAGGTGCTTTATGGTTTATTCAATTTTAATTACTAGTACAACAGAAATTGTGAAATGAGTTTTTGGAAAATGTATTATCTTATGGGATAATTGTTAAATAAAATTTCCTATGGATTACTCCTCAAAGACATTCAGAAAAATCTTCTTGCAAGGTTCATTAATTTCAACTTTCAGATTCATTGATGACGTCATGTTACTCCATTTTCCACTGTTTACAAAATTTATAATTTTTCGAAACACAAAGGATTGTTTACCCCAGCAATATACTTCCTTAGTTGTATTTGGCAAAACATTTCGGATTTTTTGGTTCTCAATGCCCTTCATCTTCGTACTTAATATTGCTTTTTTAACATTTTGATTCAAGCGTCACTGGTGATTCTTTTGTAGACGAATCGCGTGTATGACGTACAAAGTTTTAGGTCAGGTTTCTAAGATGAGTATAGATTCACAATTTAGTAAGCGCTTCGGAAGGGGGGGGGGGGGGGGGGGTGCTATGGCTTTTTCCTAAAAAATAGTTCTGATCCCCAATTCGATGAAAAGAAAATATTGTGGTCAAGCAGATGACCAAAAAAATATTCTGAATCCAGATTTTCCCCGTACCTTATAGTGTTAAATTTTGAACAAAATAATTTGATTGATAGCGTCGAAAAACTAAAACATAATTGCACCCTAAACATTTAGGGAAAGCCTTCTCGGAAACTAATCATTTCAGTCTTTAGTTTTCTATCTAGTATATTGTGAACTTTGTTCTGTTCGTCGAATTTTGAAATATCCCGTTGGTATCTTCCGGCTCTTTGTAATGCAGCTCCATACAGGCAATCGGATCTGTCTTTTCCAGGTAGTCTGAAATTTATATTTAGTCCATGGCCTTTATTCACAAAACATCTAACGAGTAAAATGCATTATTAGTTATAATGAAATGTTCGTATTTTCCGCGGATAATTTATTTTAGTAAGAGTTTTTTAAAGGCTGTTATGAAGTCAAATTCATAATAACTGAACAGAAAACAATTGATATGAATTGTGTTGTTATTTGTTATCCGATCGAAGCCAAATTCAAGCACAAAATCTGCCTGGATAACTGAAAACAGAGTAACCATTTTAATTAAGGAGATGTGGTATGATTGCCAATGAGACAACTATCCACCAAATTTAAAAGGAAGTGGATGTAAGCAATTATAGGCACCCGTACGGCCTTCAACAATGAGAAAAACCAATACCGTATGGTCGGCTATAAAAGGCCCCGACATGAAAAATATGAAACAATTCAATCGAGAAAACGAACGGCCTTTAAAACAAAACAATTTACGCAACAAAATATGACAGAAATGAACCAACGACAACCACTGAACTACAGGCTCCTGACTTGGGACAGGCACATAAATAATGTGGCGGTGTTGAACATGTATGTTAGCGCTTAACCACCTAACCTGGGACAGTGGTGAAACAGTACAACTGAAGAACAAACTATAAAATCAATGGAAAAAGGCTTAACTCATCAGTTGGATACAAATAGAAATACATCTAACAAAAACACAGAGTGAACGTGTACATCCCAGCAACAAAAAGACACTAAGTACAGATCTGAGAGTACTCGCAGTTACTGACAGCCATTAACAACTAATAAAAAAATCATGCATCTAAGACTAAATTATCAATCAGTATGGTTTTAATTTACTGATAACAAAATCAATATTTATACCAATAAAAACAATATTCAAAGGTTTCATTATAGTGTTGAATAGGTAACCTTTTAGAATAATAGATATAAGAAGATGTGGTATGAGTGCCAATGAGACAACTCTCCATCCAAGTCAAAATCTATAAAAGTAAACCATTATAGGTCAAAGTACGGTCTTCAACACGGAGCCTTGGCTCACACCGAACAGCAAGCTATAAAGGGGCCCAAAAATTACTAGTGTAAAACCATTCAAACGGGGAAACCAACGGTCTAATCTATATAAAAACGAGAAACACTTATGAACCACATCAAAAAACGACAACTACTGAACATCAGATTCCTGCCTTAGGACAGGTGCAAACAATAAGTTTATTTAAAGGATTGATAAGTTTATCTGGATCGTATCTAAATTTCCGGGCTCGGTTTACAACATCGCCGTAACATTTAGGACGTGCTATTCCGTTTGAAATAAGTTTTCTACAGGTACAGCCAAACTTGCAGACAAAATCTTTGTATCTATGGAAGAATTTAGTAAAGGTTTTAAGTAATTTGTGGTAACGAAATCCCTCACTGAATTATTTACTAGTAATACATAGATTACGCTCATTGAAATCCAAAACGTCACTACAGACACGACAATAGCGATCTAGTTGGGATATATAAACACCATAAGACGATGCTAAAGGAACATCACCGTCCTAAAAGGGAAAATTAACAATAGGGAAAGAAAAATCATCCCTTATGTCTTAAATTTTTGTGTGGAGTTTCTGGTGTAATACTGAAATATTTAAATCTAGGAAAGGACAGTTTTTGCTGTTAATATTTGATTTATTTAAAGTAAGTTCCTTTCAGCAGTATATTTAGAGAACTCATGATTATTTAACGAAAAAATATCATCAAGATAACGGTAAGTGTTGTTGAATTTATCAGTATATATGAGTTTGGCCATAAACTGCGATTCATAACAGTAAAGTCTGCTACTAAAGGGGCACAATTGGTGCCCATATGAATACCTACAACCTGTCGATAAACTTTATTGCCGAAACGTACATAAATGTTGTAAAGGTGAAAATGTAGTGCTTTAATCATCTCATCACTCCTCCAGTAAGTATATCTAGCACATTAACCTTTCTCATTAGAGAAAAAGGCTTTATATGAGTTGCAGCAAATAAATTTGCCACCTGATTTATCACACGACCATTTAATTAGATAGGAATACTTTGTTTGATAAGATTGTGTGGAAGTGTAGTATAAAGAGTGGAAAAGTCAAAACTGTTAACCGAATCAAAAGCACGTAATCAATCTAAAACATCCACTGTTCATATGTTTTATTACAAAAATTAACGATACGAGAAGTTGTTTGATAGTAGTTAAGGAACTCGTTAAAAGCACAGAAAGATTAGTAGTAGAACACTTACTAGAGGCCGAGATGAAACGATATTTTCCGTGTTTTTTGTGTAGTTTTGGTAACCCAATACATAGTGGGGACCTTCAAATGTTCAGAGGAGGCCTTAAGCTGAGCTATGGTAGTGATATGATTATTTACTATATGACTCTCTGTGGAGCGTACGGCCTTGAATGTAGTTGAATGTATAATTTCATTATTAAGGACTTCCGTGTAGTATTTACGTCATACCACCACCACCACATAACATTCATTTTCTTTGAAATTTAAGTAATGAGGTCATAGTTATGTCGAAAAAACAAAATCCTTTTATTACCTGTACAAATCGATACACAAACGAAGAGTTTAACATGTTGTGTGACAATGCCACTGCATAATAGAAAAATGTCTTTATCATATTTCGGGTTATAAATCGACAATAGAAAAGTAATACATCAATTTAAAAGAGA